TAGGTACAGAACAGTAGCTAATGTTTTATCCTATGGCACAGAGTTTGCATTAGAAATGCTCGATCGGAAGACTTTACTGCATCCATCTAATCCACATGTGCCTGACAGACAAGGCGTGCAATAGCTTTATGCGATGACAAGTGTCGACCTAGCCCTGCAGCACAAATTACAGATGACGATTCCCAAAGCAGAAGATCGAAAACTTACGAGAAAATTGAAGTTGAAGGCTTTCATCGAACTGTCCACCAATTAGGGGCACTAGACTGTCGTCGTGGATAAAGCTGAGACTGAAAACGTCTTGATAGACAAGCAGTCTTGTGGACTTTTCGCAGTCAACGGCTGAGAAGCATTGTAAATAAGACGATAGACAAATTGAGGAAAGCGGGTGCCATCATGACAAGGGAAGCACTGGCCGCAAAAAAACACAGACACCCTCCATCCACATAACACACAAAGACTGTCTATCAAGATTATTATTAGTTGCACCTCCAGCTCAGTCTTTTCAGCACCAGCGCAAGGCTCTCCATCACAAGCCTTAGCAATCCCTGAATATTCTCCGCTGCAAAGTAGGCTGAGTTCTCGCTCTTTCTTCCTTTCGTCGTTATTGCTTTTCCCTCTCATCTTCATCTCACTCGTTTCTTCTCTCCTTCTCCCTCTCCCTCTCCCTTTTCCTCTTCCCTCGCAGAACCTGCTCTACCATGCTCATCTCCGATCTGTTTTCCTTTTCAGCGTTGCGCCCATCCCACCTCAGGCGGCCGACAGCTAGGCGGTTGTCTGTTGCTGGCGGTGGGGGAGAGAGTGAGGTCGACCCTCGGCACGTTTCTTTTTTCACTATAATGAATCCGATGTGCTTGAATCTACCCCGGTGCGCTAAAAGCCGTGGCTTGGAGGGTTGCCAGCTGGCGGGTTAACTCGAACACCGCAGTTGGTCCAGTGTGTCTTGTTGTGTGGTGTGGCTGTCTGTGGGCTGAAAGTCAGATTCAATGGCTCCTTCTTAATATGGCCTTTTTGGCGCTCCCCGCCGGGGGCATACCTACTGAGACGTGCTGTTTGGTACGCGTGTTGAGTTTTGTCGCGCCAGCCGTCTGTGCCCTCCCGCAGCTCCGACCTTTTTGACTCTGTCTTGACGCCGGTCCCCGGTGCGGAGGTGGTCAGAGAGTGGGGCCTTCACTATAATTACCCGCAGTCACCGCGTGCTTCAACTCGTTGAAGCTCGCAGTGTAAATCGTCGATTTCGACGGTCGAACTATCCGTGGCAGTTGTGTAAGCGTGCGTGTCTAAAGCAATAACATGCAGCAGCCACCTCCGCCTTCACTGCGCTCATTACTCTCGCATATTCGCTCAACGCATGGAATATTCGGTCACATGCGTATCCATGACAGCGGAATCCACCGCGATGCTAACACACCTAACCCATCTTGGGCAAACATCGACACTCCCATTCTCAGACGCACGACCACTGGCCAGTCACTCGCAAATCCACAGCACGGAGACTGGTGAGCCAGCGCCCGGTGCCTCGACACACAGGCTTCGTGTCTACCTCCACTGCCCACGCACATTCACTCACTGCATGGGTTCATTTGGTCACAGGAAAATCGGCCGAAAATCACCACAGGCTTGAAAACATCACAACACATTCTCCCCACCACCGCCTGCATGACACATCCACTCACTTAACACCGGCACCTCTCATGTATATGGAAAGTGTGTTTTTCGGCTCCTCTCCACGTGGCTTTTCAGTTACGTGTGAAATCTGTGCCGTACACCTCATGATATGCTAATATTCGGGCCCACTGTAGGCTGTGACCAGCTGGCGTATGATGGGATGTAGTGGCATACAGGCCCATGACGTGAGAGCCCGGTCGCGGGCCGCTTCCCATATTCTCCTGTTGCTGTGGTACGCTAAGGTGCGGATTCTCGCCGTGCTGGCCAAATGAATCCTCTCCTACCTCCGGTCTCTTTGATTCCCTCACGGCACCGGGTCTAAATGTAAGAGGGGAAGGAGTGCGGTAGATGCATCGCAAATCTACTCCTACTATAATCGACTCTACGCACAAGTCACCGTGCTTGCTTTCAGCATGCCCTTGCCATCCCATTCCGCGGAGCGGCGAAGTAAGTCTGTCCACAAGTTGGCGGCAATCAAACTCTAAAGAGGTTCGACGGTGTTTTCAATATGTATCTACTCACTAACTTGTTCCTATGGAGCAGATTATGTTGGCCACAAGAGTCGGCGCTTATCCAAAAGGATAAGGTAATAGCTCATGGCAGGGCTGAGAAAAGGCAAAGTGCAGAGTATAAACGACTTTTCGATCGTCGACCGTGTGCGTCACAGCAGAGCGTGTACAGGGACGGTGACTTACTCGTGAATTATTTGTAAGTAGGGCTAGACTTGCGTTGCATCTACCGCACTCTCTCCTCCCTCACCCGCCCGACCTCGAAGTCAAGACCAAGTTAAGAGAATCGGAGGCGGGAGCGGGTGCAGGTTGGCTGGTTGCGGTGTGAGCCTGCACCTATGCGTGCACCAACGCGTCACCCCATGGTCGGCATTTGTTATGGGAACACAACCAGAAAAACGCCTATCGTGCCCCGTGTTGGTCCAGCCCATCTACCACACGATCCCTTTTAGGGGATACTCAGAGCATAAACAGCCCCATACCCGCACACGCGGTTGGTTCTGTGCGTCGTGTGAACACCAAAGAAGCCCCTCGGATGATTTATAAGGTCTCACCAAACTACCAAAACCCCTGTGTCCGTGGCTGCTAGCAAAAGCAGAAGCGACCGCTATAAGGCCTAAGAAGTCTATCTTGTGTGCATGAAAGAACCCCCCCCCACCAGAAACGGTTCCACCAAATCTTCACCGCATCTTAAAAAGTTGTCCCTTACCATCCCCTTCCTTTCCCAACGGCTCACTTGTATTAGGAGACGAACATTACTGGACGCATGTTTTACCTGGAACCTTTTTCCCATATCAGTGTAATTGCACGGCAGCAATTTATCGAATGCACGCGTATGTATTAATTATTGAACTAAGGAATCATTGCATATCTAACAAAAGCTTATTGAAACATTAGCCCCAACCATTAAACCAACTCCAGCCCTGACTCGAAAACTAGCGCCAATCTTAACCCCACCTCCATCCTCTATACTTCAGTCTACCGTTTACTCTAACCCTAATTGAACGAAATTCAATCCAAACAACAGCCCTTAACTAGTTTGAACAACTGCTAGGCTTATTACAGCTCGTCCCTGTACCTAGCTTCCCTGCCCCACTCCCCCCTCTCCTGCGCAACTCCCCAATTCCCAAACACCGAAGCTTAACACTAACACGTGCAATAACTCAAAGGTCACCTGATCTGATTCTAGCAACAGCATTATGTATCCACCTAAATAAATTAAGCAGTCAAGTGCATAGTAATGAGAACGTGGCTCCACGCATTTCATCCCTACTTCTGCATTTTCTGTTGTAACTACCAGGACGTCAAACGCCTCCAACCATTTCAGTCATAAGTCCACCAGTTGAGAAAGGGGCGAACGCAACCCATGGGAATCCTTCTAGAGGCCTTTAGGGCTTTCAGCCACAACACTGGTGCGATTTTCGGCCAAACCTTCGGCCACCGTATGTACGGGTCACACCCGAGGGTGCAACTGCTGACATTTTCGTCACTTCTAGGCCAGCAGACATGTTTCATTGTCAGAACCTACATATATACTTAATGTCTCCCTGTTTCCACAAAAGCTGCCACTTAGTCTGCCTAATAATTAAAAGGCTTCTGTTCGTGTGTGGAATATGCGTGTGAACCTACTTGTGGGCAGTAACGTCAGCTCAACGGCTAGCAATCATCACAAATATATTTGTTCTGACTAACCGTAGTCATTTTCGATTTTCTCCGAGTACACCTGAGAGTACAAGTTGCGGGATTTAGGCGAGGCAACATTTTGGCTTTGCGTCTAAATGATGTGAGCACTAGAGAAATCGAACGACACCTGGAGAGATCGGAAAACTTGGCTAACAAATGCACGGCAGAAGGATTAGACGCAATTGCTGTAATAAGAACTTTGTTCGTCTGACGTTTAGGATTCAAACCCCAATCCATAATCGGAAACGGTGTCAAGCACACCTGTTTCCAAATGCTACAAACCGCATGCTATTGGTGTTTCTATCTGTCGTGATCAGAATAGAGTCGCGAGATTCAGTAACTTCGAGCCAAACTGTCGAGGGGAGAGAATTAGCGAGTTGGGCTTTATTCATCTTACATTTGGGGTATAAGAACTGAAAAGAGATAAAAGAAAAATGGTCAGAGCAATATAGGCAGTTAGTGAGCGTTTGTTAGGGGGCAGGGGTGAACATTCATCAACGAAGGGGAGAAGGCAGTAAGGAACGTTCATAAACGAGAGTGGGAAGGTAGGGGCGAACATTCGTCAACGAGGGTCAGAGTAGTGTAAGCCGTACACTACGCATTCCTATTACGTCTCCTGGTGCTCATAAAATATTGGTAAAGATGTGAATCGCGTTGTATACTATATACAAAGCAGTGATAAACCTACGAATATTTGGTACCGCGAATACTCATTGGAGCATCCCAACATTTGCCTTTATTTCACACTTTTAAGACTTCCATAGCACCCCCCGCCTCCCCCCAAATTACTTAAATTAAGGCATAATCTCCGACAAACCCTGCATAATAAGGAAAGTATTTTATGTATCCTTTTTGGAGAGTATAATCAAACTCTTAATAGCATCGACGAAAAATGAGCGGGTAAACGCGTGACATTAGCAATGATTTTCACAGGGAACTCGAAATGCCCAACCACAAAACTACTGTTGGTAAGTTAACTTACATTTCACGGTAATTGCTGTTGAGAACCCGCACTTAGGTTCCTTCTCTTCGATGAATGCCTCACGGATTATCGTACTTTACTGCTGCTTTTTTCTAACCCCGCAATTCACCTTGTCTCCTTGACATCCCTCTCGCCAACAGAATCTTACCAATGGCAATGCAATGAACGTTTACTCTCCCAACATACCGATGTGCGATGTCTGTGGTGTGCCCGTCAATCCGGAAAACATGGCTACACACGTGGCTGGAAGAGCACACGCATGGAAGTTCTTGCTCAGTGGTGGGAGCACCGTCTGCAGTAGCGAGACGACTGACAGTCCTCAGGTGGCTACCAGCGTTTTCCGCATCGAACGCTCCTTCTCCTCTGTCTTCAACAGTGTGCCTCGACTGACCACAGAAAAAGGCGTGCGTACATAATTTTCTGGCCTTCCCGAGCCATTATCTTCATTTGTACTACTAAGACTTTTATTATGATTTTTTGGCAGTTGTACTGCCGTTGCGGTGTTTTTTTGTTTTAAAACAGGCGTATACGGCAGGATTTATTGACGTCAACTTCGCTGCATGAGAATGATAACGAAGAGGACATACAACAGTTTGAAATTTAACAGAATGAATGGCATAACAGCGCTATCCCTAAAGCCCAGAGGTACGCATATGCCTAGACCATACGGAATTCCCAAAACACACAAGAGGGACATACTTCTGCGACCAATTCTCTCAATGTCTAATTCACCTCAGTATAGATTAGCGCAATGGCTTGTAAAGGAAATAAAGCCCATTCGAGAACGGTTCTCCACTTACACTACAAAGGACACTTTTCATTTTATCGAGGACAACAAGCGCCAAAACACCACTGATAAATTTATGGTTTCACTAGACGTCGAGGGATATGCATACCTCTGGGCTTTAGGGATAGCGCAGTTGAAGTGTCAATTAGCTCTTCGTCTAGGCAGGCAGACTCTTCTATTGTCTTGGTTTCTTCTTTACCTGATGTCTGTAGAATAAATTTGCTCTGATCACTTAAAATGGATTCTATTTTTCTCACATAGTCCTTCCGGTTAAGGATGACCACTCCATGGCCTGTGTCGGGCTTAGAAATGGTTTCAATAGACGTCTAATAATTATTTACAAATGTACCGCTGGACTAAACAATAGACATTATTTGTGCCCATGCGTCTGAAACTCGTCTGTCGCCTAATATACTGCGTCAATTGCTGTTGCTCTGTACCAAAAATGTCCAATTTCTATTTAGTGGACAACTCTACAGACAAATGGACGGAGTCGCAATGGGCAGTCTACTAGGGCCCACATTCGCAGATGTTTTTATGGGTCATCTAGAGGAAAAAGCGTCATCAAGACTTAATGAGACAACATTATATACAAGATATGTGGAAGATATATTCACGATTGGTGATTCTAAGGAAAACGCCGATGATCTCCTCAATTTAATCAATACCTTACATCCGAAAATTAAATTCACAATGGAAACAGAACAGCTTAACAAGCTATCCTTCCTAGACGTCCTCATGATTAGAGAGGATGGTTGTATAGGGCGCCCGGTTTTCCACAAAAATAGGTGGAAAGGACAGTACCTACATTTCATGAGTTTTGTGCCTATTCAATGGAAGCGAAATCTGGTACATAATCTCTTTCAACGAGCAAGGAACATTTGCTCTAGTGTGACCCTGCCTGCAGAGCTTTCCCGCATCAAAACAGTTCTACTTAACTGTGGCTAACCTGCACGCTTTATTCAGAAGTACAGCAACTCTCTACGGCCAAAGTTGATGGAACAGTCATTTCCAAAAAGGCTTGTAATTATATCCTCACCCTTTAAGGGTGATGACATTTCAAATAAAATCAAGCGACGGTTACGCTGTACTATAGAAAGGACCTACAACACAGCAAAACTCTTCTTAAGTCCTACTAAAAGCATTCCAGTAAAACGGGCAAAGGATGCCTTGCCATCGCACACCACCTCAAGTACATTGGGCGCACGCAAAGGCAACTG